GTATGCCCTTGTTAAAAAAAAAAAATTAATTAGAAGGCCATTAGGCTGAGATGGTGCCTTGTGTCTTACATAAGCACATGGAAGCCCAACAGTGGAAGGAATCTTAAACCAATCAGAAACTGCCAAGTGACTTCTAATGAGAGATTCTGCCAATCAGAAACCACCCACTAACCTCGAGGACTTTCCACTCTGACCAATCAAATGCTTCCTTTGTCTTGCCTGTGCAAACACGCCTTACAAAACCGCTTTCTCACACACCTTCTAGGTGGAGTCCATCCTGCTTGTGGTTTGGTACTGATTCACGAATTGTTGTCTCCTCCAAAAACATGCTACAATTTTTTTAATATATTATGAATTTCACTCTTGTTGCCCAAGCTGGAACGCAGGGGCACGATCTCGGCTTACCACAACCTCCGCTTTCTGGGTTCAAGTAATTCTCCTGCCTCAGCCTCCTGAGTAGCTGGGATTATAGGCATGCACCACCACGCCCTGCTAGTTTTGTATTTTTAGTAGAAACAGGGTTTCTCCATGTTGGTCAGGGTGGTCTTGAACTCCCGATCTCAGGTGATCAGCTCACCTTGGCCTCCCAAAGTGCTGGGATTATAGGCATAAGCCACCATGCCTGGCCATTTTTTTTTTTTTTTTTTTTTTTAGATGGAGTTTCACTTTTATTGCCCAGGCTGGACTACAATGGTGCAATCTCAGCTAACTGCAACCTCTCCTGCCTCAGGCTCCCAAGAAGCTGGGATTACAGGCATACACCACCACACCCAGCTAATCTTTGTATTTTTAGTAGAGATAGGGTTTCAGCATGTTGGTCAGGCTGGTCTCGAACTCCTGACCTCATGTGATCCACCTGCCTCAGCCTCCCAAAGTGCTGGAATTACAGGCATGAGCCACCACATTTGGCCTAAACAACTCTACAATTTTAATGTACCTGAGTTTATCTTTTAACATAATTTACCCTGGAAGTTTCCTGCTGTGTTTCAACATTACACACAACACATTTAAAAGTGAAGCTGGGCCCGGCTTCCTACAAGAGCCCATTAATAGAATTACAAGAGAGAAATAAGAAATCAAAGTCAGTGTGGTTTATTGAGGCACCATCGTCAAAGATAAAGATGGAAGCAAAGTCCCACAAGGTCAAGGACGTGGCTGAGTACAAACCTGGGGCAGGTGTCAGAAAGACGAGGCCTCCGGGCATCTGACTGCCTCTCTGGGCATCATCTGGCCCCCAGTCCTAACAAAGGCAGTCACTGAGAGCTCCCATGGCAAGCAGCACCTCCTGCTCAGGCTCCTTGGAGTGATTTATTAAATGGAGGTGCAATGAAGAGATAAGCCCCCGACTAATTCACTGCTGATGGTGAGGAGGGAAACTCCATGCGCAAAGCAGACTGAGTTCAAATAATACAGAACAAACCTGCCTGGGTGGAGAGAAAGAGCCTGAGGTCAGGCAGCAGTCTGCAAAGTCCTCCAGTGACTCCAACACAGTTCAGAGATAATGCCCTTGACCCCAGGAGACCTCTGCTGTGTCTAGCAAAGGAGGATTTAAGGGCAATGGTAGAGAAAGACCAGCGGGGAGGAACGAGGAAGCCTAGCAAGTACCAACACAGGTGACAAGGACCTGGACTACGGCTCCAGCCCAGGGAGACAGAATAGAGGGCTAGGGACAAAAATGATGGCCAGGTAACAGGGTAAATGCGGGGGGTGGGGGACATCCCTGTAACCACAGAGTAGAGGGCAAAGGTGATAGGAGTAAGCAAAGGCTACGGAAGGCCCTAGGAAGGCCTGGCAGGAGGTTGGCACTGTGCCAGCTGCCACTCCACGTGCTGCCTAAGGCCCCAGTGAGACATTGCTGACTCTGTCCCCAAGAACCTAAGCACCCTGGGATCAGAAAAGGAGGCTTCAGCACAGATAGGGCACAGGCAATCCTGGCCGCTACCTCGAGCCCTAAAGATGTTCCTGAACATGTGGTTTGCCCTTCCAGGGGAACTGGTCAGGACCCTGGCTCATCCTGCGTCACGGCTGTCTCCCCACCCCAGCCCTGTTCCCTTCCAGGCAGCCTGTCTTTCCCTCCCTGGTGTCTGTGCCCAAAAGACCCCGTAGCTTCTCTGCAACCAGTCTTTACTCCTCAACTCAAAGGGAATGTGTTGTCACTATCTCCCCAGCACAACGCCAGGTCCAGAAATCTTCACTGGCACATGAGTCCGCAGTAAATGTTTGAGGAATGAATACATGAAAGCACACCGGTCCCTCCACCCCATCCTTTACTTTTCCTCCCTCCTTGAGCTGACTGTCCTGTACATACTACCCGGAACTGTCAGTTGCTCTGCCAAGAGCTGTATCTCTGCTGCTGACCTCAGGCCTCATGGACTGGACGAAGCCCCTGCACCTGCCTCTGGTTCTCACCATTCCCAAAAAAGGCTGTAGCTCCAAGCAGGGCCCTGCCTCACTCCTGTGAAACCTCACAGCTCAGCACAGGGCCTGTGTGGACACCTGCCAGACTATATAAAGTGCTACTGCCTGGCCAGCGCCTCCTGGTTTCACCTTTTTCCTGCCTCTCCTGAGTCATCCTTGTGCCCACAGCCTCCTCTCACTGGGTCTGGTGTTCTCTGCAGGACCCTATGCAAATAAGGGGCTCCACGACGCTTCCAGGGGCTGCTGAGATGGTTTGTGTTGAGTGCTCAATGCTGTTTCCACTCTGGTTCTCTTCCAAGTGCTCACTGACTTAGGTCAAATGACTGTTTAATAAATCAGTTGCTTGGGTAGAATGGAAAGTGTTTATCTTTTTCTATTTGGAAAATGTAAATGTCCCCAAACCACATAGCTATGTACACAATAACATGTACAACTCAAAAAAAAAAAAAAAATAGCCCAGCAGTTTAAAGAAGCTATACCTGACCCAGCCAATTTGCTTTGAAGCAGCTTTTAAACTATTAGTGTAGGAAGTGGGCTTTCGTCCCAGCAGCTCTTCATCCAACCGTTTCAGAGAAGACACCAGAATGCTCTTATGCTGTATGCATGAGCTGTCCAAGGTCTATCAATCAAGGTGACTCTGGCCCTTTGGGAGGCTGCATTCATTCTTCTGCTTGAATGAATATAGGTACAATTAAACATGATGTCTCTAGTTAAAAAGCTTCCACTTGGGATTTCACACAAAACATCGTAAGGTGCTCCCTTCATTTCCAATGCCACAGTTTGGCTGGCCCACGAGGCTGGCGGCAATGTACATGAATGACACACAGAGCACAAGCCTGAACGTGCACGCACAGCAATGCAAAATAGTGCTAGGTATCGTGCATTGAGCACCCAGATGCACCAGCACCATGCAAGCACTTTAGGGAGTTGCCTTTGCTTAAAATCCATGTGATCCCACAGGGCAGTTCCACCACTGCCCATTCTACAGGGGGAGACCTTGGTGTGGGGCAGCTTGGTAACTCATCCCAGGTCATGAGCAATGGGGCTAGGACAGCACCAAACACTCTGACCTGAGATTGCTTTTAGCCATAAAGAAACAGACATACACGTATATTTACGAAAAAGTATATACAAACAGCAAAGTCTGACTAATATTCAAATTGTAGGAACGCTTGATCCCATTACAAAAAAAAAAAAAACTCAAGCAGACAAAAACTTTGTGTAATGGTAAAGAGTTTCAGGCACACAGTACTTATTAAGCACCTGATAAATGTTGACTTGCCCGTTTCAACTTTCTGTTTAAAGTGCCTGCATCGAAGCAGGCTGAGGACACAGACTGCACCAAGTACCGGTAAGGTGCTGGCTTTCAGGGAACTTAGGTACTGAAAACTGTGCTGGGTACAACACTGTTCCAAGCAGTGGAGCTGTGTACCTTCTCGTCGCTGGAACGCATGACCCCAGGAGAACGAAGAGAGGCTTATAAACACACACTGAGTTCTTCCTGTCTCTCTGGGAAGTAGGTGTTTTAAGGTGGGACCCCAAATCAGAAAAGTTGGGCAACTGCCCATAGTTACACAGGTAGTGAGTTCAATTTCCTTGGGTGCAGACACACCCTTTTTAATTATTAAGCTTTCCAGAGACTGAATGAAAACTTTGAAAATTGAACTTTTGACCAGCCATTGCAGATACAGCCAGCTTCAAATATTAAACAACAACAACAACAACCCCCAAAACCTTGAAAGATTTAGAAGTCATCTTTAAGACTTCATTTGTTTAAGGTTTAAGGTCATTGCCTGGAAAGCCACCCCACAGTCCTGAGGTCCCCTGCCTAAGGTGGAGGTGAAAGTCTCTGAAAGTGATCAAGCCTTTATGGGGAAACTGCTAGGCAGTGTTAGGATACCAGGTTTCCAGTTGCAGCTGATCACTTGGCTGGGAGAAAACAGCTGCACCATCAGCAAAGATACCAAAAGGGGAGCCAGCAGAAAGGTGCAGAAACCAGTGGCCCTCAAGACTGGAGACCATCGGCGTTAGACTCTAGGCCCTCCTGCAGTCTTCATCTAAGGGAACAAAATCTAGTTTCCATTTTCAGTTTGTGTAACTTTTTAATTCTTTATTTTTATTCATTTAATTTTGAGACAGAGTCTCGTTCTGTCGCACAGGCTGGAGTGCAGTGGTGGGATCTCGGCTCACTGCAACCTCTGCCTACTGGGTTCCAGGGATTCTCCCATCTCAGCCTCCGCGTAAGACAGGTGCCACCGTGCCGGCTAAGCAAACCAAACCTGGGACCACTGAGTGGCTCTTTCCAGATCGGTTTCATCCCGTTTTTTCCATCACTCCCTTTCAGTCCTTTTCCATTTCCCGCCCTTTCTAGACGAATCCCTCCTCGTTTCTAAATCCGGGAGCCGGGGGACTCGGGGAGAGGACCCCAGGGACGGCAGGAGAAGGGGACCCGTGCAGAGGGGAGACGCTCCGGAGGGGTCGGCAGGGAGAGGGCGTCTGGGTGGGGAAGGCTCCCGGGAGAGGGCACCGGGCAGTGATGCGAGGGTTGGCGAGGACGCCGGGCCGGGGGCCGGGGACGTTACCGTTGTACGTAGTGGACGAGGAACATGGCCAGGAGGATGCAGTTGGGCGCGTCGCGGAGGCGCGGTGCGGACTCGCTGGCGCACTGGTAGAGCGGCAGGGCCAGCGAGGGCAGCTCCTGCACGGCCCAGGCGACCCGTGCCGGCACCCGGAGCCTGCACCTGGGTGTCGCCTGGCGGCCGTACGGCGAGTTCCTCTGCTGGTTCACCCCGAGGATCAGGCAGCCAGCGGCGCACTGCAGGTAGACGAGCGCGGACAGCAGGCGCTCCTCAGCCACCGCCGTCGCCGTCGCCATCGCCGAGGCTGGGCGCCACGCTCCATGCCCCGGAGGACGCGGCGGGCAACATATAAGGTGGCGGCGCGGGGGCGGGAGGCACGGCTACACGAAGCCTGCACGGCCAGGGCGCGACGGGACCGGTCCTGGATTCCGGCCTCTCCGGTGCAGTCAGGGCTGGGGGCACGGCCCCCGGGGGCGGGGCGAGCACCCTCGCGGGGCGGGACCTGCAAACGCCCCGCCCACGCCGGGGCGCCGCAATCACCCCGCTCTGCGCACGCGCGGCCTCAGGCTGTCCGAGGAGATCCCTGAGCCCGCGTGGGAAACCCAGGCGCTTCGCACCAGAAGCCTTTGTGGCTACTTCTCGGAGCCTTTTTCCCCCTCGGAGCTGTCCGCGGTTTTGCCTCTCACGCTGTTTTTCGGGAGGATGGGCTGTGCGCTTTGGGCTTATTTCTGGACGGTCCCCGAAGGTCCCCGAAAGGACCAGGCCCAGACACGTGGGGCCTTGGGTTCCGACCGGAAGTCCGGGGAGCCGTCGGGCCCCGGTTTCGGTTGTGGCGGGCCGGTTCCTGCGTGCTGCGTGCGCTCCCGGGTGGGCCATGGGGCGGCGGTCGCGGTGCCGGCGGCTCCAGCAGCAGCAGCGGCCTGAGGGCGCGGAGGACGGTGCTGAGGGCGGCGGCAAGCGCGGCGAGGCGGTAGGAGCCGGGACGCGGCGGGCGGGTGGGTCTGGGGCTCCTCGTGGGCCTCCCGGACGCCGAGGCCTGAGGGGCGGCTCCTCGGGCCTCGGGGTAGACGTCCCTTTCCTTCCTTAGGGCTGGGAAGGAGGGTACCCCGAGATCGTCAAGGAGAACAAGCTGTTCGAGCACTACTACCAGGAGCTCAAGATCGTGCCCGAGGGCGAGTGGGACCAGTTCATGGACGCCCTCAGGGAGCCCCTCCCGGCCACTTTAAGAATTACTGGTTACAAAAGGTAGGGGGCAGTACCTGATTTTTTTAGGGAGTTGAGGCCAGGATGCTCCAGGTTAAAGGCGATGGTGTTTTCTCTGACAAGTGTTACAGTGCCAAAGAACCGTGGCGTTTCAGCGGTGTGAATTCAGGAAGCATTGAGGTGGGAGCACAGGGTCCAATGAAATGGTCACGGAGGTATTGCAGGTGCAGAGTTAGAAGAGGAAGTGAAAATGGGATCTGAGGAAGTTTCGGCTTCTGGGGATTGGTGAGCTGGGGGTCCTACCTTTTGGAACGAAAGAGAGTTTATAGAGAATGTATAAAACCCCTTGATCCTTCCCCTCCCCCATCTTTGTAGGTACATCTTTCTAAATGAGTCGCAAGTAAAACTAAAACTGTAGGTATACTTGGGAGAGAAGGAATGCAGTGTTGCTCTTAGGGTCAAACAGTGTGGATTGCTTAAATTTTGAAGGGATACAGTGTAAAAGTAGTGACTAAAGAATGTTTTCTCTCTGTGCAAAGTTGGCTTTAGTTTTAAAATATGTGCAGTCTTAAATTTAAAGGATACAACGTATTAGCTTAGCTTCTTAGATCAGTTTGAAACTTTCTTGTTTTTCAATAGCCATGCAAAAGAGATTCTCCATTGCTTAAAGAACAAATATTTCAAGGAATTGGAGGACCTGGAGGTGGATGGTCAGAAAGTTGAAGTTCCGCAGCCACTGAGTTGGTAGGTACCACAATGCTTCATCTCGAATACTTGTTTGGGATCTCAATCTCTGTCACTTGAGTTATATTTCTTGGTAGTGCATTTGCTGTTAACATGAAAGAGCCTGGGTTTACTTTGCAGACATCCTCATGTTTTAGTACCTGGTGCTTTTATCAACATTTCATTGGTATGCAAGTTTTCATTCGGTTTGCAGCTTCATGAGTCGCTGAGTTCAGCGAACTCTTCCTAGTACATCCAGCCTCTTCCTTTATGTCACCACTTCTGCCAGCTCCATGTTACAGCCCTTGCTTTCTCATATCAAAACTGCTGCCAAGTGGCTTCTTTGCTTTCAGGAAAAGGACACACTTAGCCGGACGACAGTCTCCTGTTAGGTGGTCCCCTGGTATTTTCCATTACAGACAGGTTACCCCTGTCTGGTGTCCGGTTATCTCCTGGTACTTCCCAGTAGAGACTGCCCCAGCCAGTGTGGCATTTCCGAGTCTCAGCACCTGAGCGTACTGCTGCTCCGGGAGCTACCTCTTTCTTCACCTGTCCTGGAGGTGCCCTCTGGGTTACCAGTTCCTCATAGTTCATATCTAGTCTCAGTTGTCTGAAGGTGATTCCTTGTGCTGACAGCGTCTTGTAAAGATGCTTGGAGTACTCCGGAGGCGCCAGTCCTTTGGTTAACTTATAAATGGAAGAGTCATTAAAGCAAATTGTTTGAGTTTCATATTTCAAATGATTTAACTTTGAGGTATTAAGTTCTCAGAAAAGAAAAACGTCGTAAATAATGCTATGAAAAGGCAAATTAAGCATTTTGCATTAGCTTTTGATGCTTTGACTATTCCAGTATGTGATGTTATCTTTCCTTTTTAGATAACCTTTAATGTTTGCAAATCACAGTCAGATTATCATTAATCATGGGGTACAGATTTGCTGGCTTTTCTTTCATTGGCTGCTCGGAATTTCATCTGCTCGCAGATGTACATAGCATATACATTCAGAAGGAATGTTGACTGGCCAAACATTCAGTCAGTATTCAATCAATATCAAGACCAAATATTACCATCATGGAATGTGTTTCTGGGATATGATAGTAAATATGACCAACATGGTGAAACCCGTCGCTAATAAAAATACAAAAATTAGACGGGCTTGGTGGTGCCCACCTGTAATCCCAACCACTGGGGAGGCTGAGGCATGAGAATCACTTTAACCTAGGAGGCGGAGGTTTCAGTGAGCCAAGATATAACACATGTTAGATTTTTAAAAGCTTGAAGGGTACAGTATAGGAACATTTTTCTATTCCGGTGCTAGGTTGCTGTTAGTGGTCACTAATTGTCCACTGTAGTTAGGTCAGTGGAAAAGGAAGATGTTTTTCAGCCTGTACTTATGGCATTGCTGAGATGAGGCAGCCTTCATGGAATCAAGCTTTTCTCCCTCATAGTAACTAGCCTTTGGAATTTTTTCAAGTGCTTTGGTTTGAAGATTTGATGACACTGATTGTGTTCTGCTTGAAGTAGAGGTCTGATGCTGTAGCAATCCGTTTTCACGTTGTTATAAGGACATGCTGAGAGTGGGTAATGTGTAAAGGAAAGAAGTTTAATTGAGTCACATTTCTGCATGGCTGGGGAGACCTCAGAAAGCTTACCATCATGGCCGAAAGACACTCTTCATAGGGTGGCAGGAGAGAGAATGAGTGCTGAGCAAAGGAGGAAGCCCCTTATAAACCATTAGCTCTCGCCCTGAGAACTCACTCACTGTTGTGAGAATGACATCTGGAGGGGGCTGCCCTCATGATTTAATTGTCTCCACCTGGTCCTTCTCTGGACATTTAGGGAATATTACAATTCAGGGTGAGATTTGGGTGGGAACACAGGGCCAAACCATAAGACAGGATTATGGTTGTCCTTGGGCACATTTGTATTTTTAGCAGTGATGCGTGTGTGCGCTGCTTCACACAATCACCCGGAAACATTTGTCCCTAGAACCTTGTGTCTAGAAGCACAGTGATGAGATAAGAAATGCTTTTAAGGTGAAGATGTCCCTGTCCAGCAGGACATGCATCTTTAGGGAAGAGATGGGCTCTCAACGCACATCAGTGTGGGCATTTTCTTCCGCAGGCCCCAACAAACTAGGAGAAACCATGCGATGTTAATAAGGCTTGCTATTTGTTATTATTCTCTGCAAATTGCAGTTAAACTTTGATTTGGTCAGTCCTTTTAACATTTAATAGCTGCTTTTTCATCTTGTTTATTGAACAACATGTCTGGGTATATGACAAGGCAATTACCGAACTCTTAGCATCTGCAGGTTGTCCGTAGTTGAAGAATGAAAGTGAATCACTCTGCCAGAAGCCAGCTATGTTTTTGTTTGCTTAAACTTTCTGAACACACAGCTGAACAAAACATTGTATGATTTGGGTTCCTAATACTTGGCTTTTTCATTATCAATGACGGTTTCTCTATTTTATTTTGAGACAGGATCTTACTCTGTCACCCACTGTGGAGTGCAGTGATGTCATGATGGTTCACTGTAGCCTTGACCTCCCAGGCTCAAGTGATACTCCCTCCTCAGCCTGCCGAGTAGCTCAGACTACAGGTGCATGCCACCATGCCTGGCTAATTTTTATATTTTTTGTAGAGATGGGGTTTCACTGTCTTACCCAGGCTCGTCTTGAATTCCAGGGCTCAAGCAGTCGTTCTGCCTTGGTTTCCCAAAGTGCTGGGATTACAGATGTGAGCCACCATTCTTGCCCAGTGCCAGTTTCTTGGCAGGTCTATTCTCTAAACATTTATTCATTTAAATTCACCTGTCAGCTGTAGGATACTGACTCAGCAAGCAAGTAAAGCAGAAGCTTTCCAGGACTTGGTGGTTTTCTATATTGCTCAAGATGCAGAAATAGATCATGAAATATTCTTCCCAATCCTCTGGTACATAGTGAAATATGATTTAGGAAAGTGTTCATCGGAACTACATTTTCTGGAAGGAAAGTTATGAATAGGGCCATAGCTTGGGCCAATTTCATTTTTTTTTCTTGCTTTTCAGAACAGTGAGGAGTTATCCTAAAGCATTCTCATAAAACCATTGTTTTGACAACCAGTTGTTCAGAGTGCCCCTGATTGTCATTCTATTTATGTGCTGTTTTTATTTATTTATTTCGAGACAAGGTCCCTGCCACCCAGGCTGGAGTGCAGTGGCATGATCTTGGCTCACTGCAACCTCCACCTCCTGGGCTCAGGAGATCCTACCACTTCAGCATCCCAAGTCGCTGGGACTGCAGGCCCACATCACTACACTCAGCTAATTTTTGTATTTTTTGTACAAATGTGGTTTTGCCATGTTGGCCAGGCTGGTCTTGAACTCCTGACTTCAAGTGATCCACTCATCTTAGCCTCCCAAAGTGCTGAGATTACAGGCATGAGATTACAGGCCTCTTTATATGCTTTTTAATGTCTAGATTGAGAATGGTTTGTCATAGATGTTGTATATATTTACAGAGTTCTTACCACCT